ATGAACACGTGAGCTCAACACGTAGTATGAACACTTGAGCAAAACACGAGCACCTGAAACAGCACATGGACACTTGAACCAGCACATGAAGGTTTGATCCAATCTGGGGCGGATCCAGGATCTCGTTAAGGGGGGAGGGTGGGGGTGTTTTAATTGTTATGAAGGGCACGCGTCATTACGGGACCCCCACCACAGCTTTCCCCTCCCCAAAAGTTCTCGTAATCCGGCCATTAAATTTTAAAATTTGTGTTTGTCTTATGTCATTTAAAGGCATGTATTTTGGAGAAAACATGCCGAAATGCACTAAAATTGGCTGTTAAATGCCATCAAAAACCACCACTAGCTTGATTCCAGGTTTATCTACAGCTAACCGGCTAGTCGATGTGCTCAGCTGGTGGCTGATAACTAATGCAGAGTTTCTTGTTTTGATTGTCATGAAGGAGCGCAAAATATCCCAGCATTTAAAATGCATTGAAAGCGTGGTGCACAAGCATAATGAACGTCACGGATTAAATAGCAAACGAAAATGGCACGACCGACGTCGGTGGCGAATAAAATTATGTTCGACAATTGCGCGTAAGAATTCGTATGGGCACAGATCCGACTACCGTACTAGGACTGTGGCGCCAAGGGAAATAGTAATCATATAATATCAGGCTCGTGTACATGAAGTAACTTAGTCATGTCCGTACATACGGGTAGGCAAAGATCCTGGCACTCTCAACCACACGTGGGGCTTCCGGCACCAGAGTAAGATCCTGCTGATCACATCGGAGGAACCCACGACCAATGAGAGGACCCCGGAGCGATCAATAGCGCCCCAGCCGATCAAGGTTTAGGTCCGGGGCTAGTTGGGGGTATAATGGTTAGGATGCTCGACTCTGGACCTCTCGGTCTGGAGTTTGCTGCCCCGGTCACACCACCACCGCACCCCACAGACCCAATTAAGATATCCGTCTCGAAATGCTCCTGGCCGCCGGTGAGGCGCTAGGCCCCAACCATTAACATTCAGATTTAGGTCCCTGTTAACCGCGTAGGCCCCCCTGTAATGTGGGAAAACCCCAAGATCAATACGGACGGCACCTGAGCGATCGAGGGGCGCCGCAGCAGGCCAACAAAGAGGCTCCCGTCAACGGCCTAGGGTCCTCAGAACAAGAAATGTGGTGTAACCCCTGAACGATTCGGCAGGCTAATATATGGGACCGGCCAGAGCACCGGACCCTCTGAGCAAAGAAACAACCCAAGATCAGTGCACATGGATTAATGCCCCTGTGAATCGAGAGCGCCCGGGCACGTTAACAGAAAGGGCCCTGGCAAGAGTGACGGGTCTCCCGCAAGTGAGCTAAAAGGAGAGGAGCCCTAGATCAATGTGGAGGGTCCCTGAGCCATCTAGAGCACCCTGGATATCAGGTCCCGGCAATAGCGTGTAGAGCCTTTCGGGCGAATGTGAAGAATCCGTAGAAGGCCCTGGATCGATCAAGAATCCCCAGGCATGCTAGCAGATAGAAGGGCCCTACTATCGTAGAAACTATATTCAAGGAGGAAGTACCCCAGATCCAATGTGAAGGGCCCCCTAACGTGAGAGTGTGCCCGAGCGGGTTGTTAGACGGGGTCCCGTCAATGGGCCCCGAATGATCCAGTGTGCCCCAGCAGCTGAACAGATAGGGCCCCCAACAAGAGCGTCGGGAAATCCAAAGATCTTGGACGTATCCAAGACCTAATGCGGAGGGCCTCCGAACTATCGAATGTGCCCGAGTAAGTTCTTTTTCTCTCCTTCTCAGTTCATCAGCTGAGAAGGATTTGCGTCCGCTAGTGGGCGCTGCACGCTCTATTGCGACTGTTCTCGATTGCCTGCAAACACCAAAACGTCCAATTTTGTTGCCTTTTGTGTTAAAAAACGCGTCTGCTTGGCCGGCTATGGGCCCCTTCCGAGTCTTTGAACCCTTCGGGATCCAAGGGGCTCATGCGGTCCAGTCGCCTCCCCCCCCCTTTGGATCCGTACCCGGAACCAGCACATGGCACTTGCACTAGCACATGAACACGTGGCCCCGACCCCCACTTACACAACATAAACGTGTAACCCAACACGCGAACACATGATCGTTATCAATGAACACAAGGTCGAATACTGGGACTTAGACCCAACATGGTCGTGATCTTGTTGATCGTGACTGAACGGTCATGCAACTAATTTTCCGTGAACGTGACATGGTGCCTCAAATGCACGCCGTTATTTGAGCCGACTGAATGTTTCGTCGTTGCGGCCATCCGTTTCAGCTATCGTGTTACAACTGCTTGGGAAGCTCGCTGTCACGACTGATCGGACATACATCGGGTCATGCGTTCATGAGCATGTGGTTCATGTCCCTGCTCATAAATGTCCGACATTGGCGGCTGTTTGTTGTCGTCTTGCGTTGGCCGCCCCACCCGGGCCGACCAGCTCCCCCGCCCACCAGCCCTCCCCGAATGTGTGTGCAGGACTGCCGGCGGTGCTGACCTGCCCGTAGACTTTCACAGACTGCTCTTACATGAATTGCTTATGCTGCGGTCGTAAAACACAATCGACCTTCGCCACTTCCGGTGCGGCAAATGTTCCCATTCCCGTCGTGCTAATCGCCATTGGTGCTCATTACAGCGGTGTGCTTCCCCGACCCTGACCTAGTCAACGTGATGAACAAGTTCAGCGAAATCGAGCTCAACCCCGTACCCAATGTGGCCCCGAGTTCCTGGGCAGCGGCGACGAGGGCAGCGGCGCGGCGGCGGGTGGCGGTGCGGCGGCCCAGGGGTACCGGCGGAGGTGAGAGCCGACGGGCGAGCAGCCGCCTCCCCCCCCCCCCTCTCCTACCAGCCGTCGTGACCAGCGGTCGCCGGGAAGCAGCACCGCCCGCCCATGTCGTGGGGTCAGGGTCAGCCAGGCCTGGGCGCTTGCACGCCCGTTGTCGCTGCGGCGGCCCCGGGGGGCTGGTCGTGTCACAGCTGCTTAGAAGCCCCGCTCGCTCGCAGCGGCCCGCCGTCGCTGCGGCGGCTCAGCTTAGCTGCGCGTATGACCGCTCGTCACACGCTCAGCTGAGCTGCGGTTATGAGCTTGATGTAGGTAAGAATGCGTAGAAACCGCCTTATTCTGGGTCAAAAATGTACAGGAGGATCAAGTGACGCTTAGTCGTCAACCGTTATGTGACACAAATGCTGCCGCCGAGAGCGTGCGCCACATTTGTGAACGCCTGACTAAGAATGCAGTTTGCCACCAGCGGCGCCAAAACCTCTGTGGAGGTCAGGGGGCGAACGCAATTTGTTTTGACGTATCGTTTCCTTCCACGCGCCGTCTCAGGCTTAGCGCTAAATGCTGGACGGAATTGGGGAACGGGAGGGGGGGGGTATCCTCTAATCGCCGCTCACGTCCGCCACATGAGACCTGCTTCGTATGGAAAAGGATCTTACCGAAGTGCGCCTCGGTAACTTTGGCGTTGTAATAACTCAAGCTTCAGCCGTTGTTCAGCTGGTTGCATTCCACGAAACTTTCCCATTGATACGAGGGTGGAAGCAAAACTGCGGAATCCTGAGCGATTTGGCGTGCCCGCAACCGCGATTGAATCTGGGAGCTGTGTCCCATTTTGGGCAATAGCGCCGCTGAAAATGAACCTCGCGGCCCCGCTTATAAAGTGAACTGCGTGCACGAGTCCACTGAATAATTACGTCGCGGCTTACTGATTGGTACGTCTTGGATCAAGGCAACCATGCATGAAATGTGTGATGAGCTCGTGCCTAGGCTTTGAAGGCCGGCCATGTTTGCATTCCTGGCCTTATGAGCACTGGAGGTGACACCGAACGGTGCGGGCTTTTTTAACCTTGTCTTTCCGTTCACCGGTATAACGTGATGCACGAAAGCAGCCGGCAGTGGTAATTAAATATCACAATTATTAAAATAAATCGTGAGTAGTGAGAATTCATGTTCCAACGTTATTTCTTTCCATGCACCGCCACGGTGTAATGTCAAGCTTGGTCGGAGCCTGCATCCGTCCGCCAAGCCCTCGGCTCTGACGTCGGGTTGTATAGAGTGAGCGACTCCATCATCAGCCGCGAATATAGCCGCGACTCCATCACCAGCCGCAAACACCGCGCCGGAATGCGCGCACGCTACGTGCCGTCGCGCTGTCCACAGGCTGAGCAACCACACCCTGCTGCCGAGCCGGTCCGTCAGCACCCCGAACGGCGGCGGCGCCACGGCCGGCGCGGACAGCTCGCCCGGAGCCCACCCGAGGACGACCCTGCAGCACAGCGTGTCCGCCGACGACAGGCTCAGTCCGCACGACTTCGGCGCCGGCCAGCCGCCGCCGCCGCTGGCCGGCGCCCTCTTCGGGCCACGCTCGCCGCTGGCCGGCGCTCACTTCAGCCCCTGCTCACCGCTGGGCGGCGCCCACCTCGGCCCCAGCTCGCCGCTCGCCGCGGGCGCTCACTACGGCCCGAGCTTATCGCCGAACGGCACGTTCTTCGGCCCCAGGTCGCCACAGGCCGGCGCTCAGTACGGCCCCAGCTCGCCCGAGGCCGGCACTCCGTACGGCGGTAGCTCCCCGGCCGCCGACGACCCGTTCGCCTGCGCCGCGGCGACGGCCGCCGTACAGTACCGTCGTCACCAGCCGGCGGCTTTCGCCGGCTACCGGGGCATGAGGAGCGGCTCTGAGAGCTGCAGTCCGCCGCTGGTGGCGCCGCCGCCTCCCTGGGTCCAGTGGTGAGTGGCGTGGCCTACGGCCGGACCGACAGCCGCCGCTCCCGGCGCGCGAAACGTGTATGCGCGTGCGTGTACGCGGAGCAAGCATGCATGCAACATGTGCATGTCCGGCCTACATCTATGCAGGAATGGCGCGGGCGCGTGCCGGCGCCATGCCTGCATGCCGCCCGTACGTTGGAAGTCTAAAGCCGCATCTGCTGCGTGCGTAGTGCGTCCCTAAAGGGGTGCAGTTTCCTATTCAGTTAGGGGAATTCACACACACACACACCCCTCCCCCTCTAACTTTGGTGAGAAATTGTGCCAAATCTGGAGATAACCCTGTTTATTAGCACGTTTTGAGGGTAGGTTGGGTCATTTTTTGCTCAGCCCCCCTCCACAC